ATTTTACCCCCTTTTGGGTCAATCGAGTCAAAGGTGCAGCCCACTTAGAGAAGTTTCTCACGAAACAGCGATAATAGTCAGCTAAGCCAAGAAAACTACAAATCTTGATAACTGACTTAGGTGTAGGCCATTGTTGTACTACTTGAACTTTGCTATCATCAACGGCGATGCCTTCTCTTGAAACCCCATGCCCTAAGAAAACCACTCTATCTAGCCAGAACTCGCACTTCGAGAATTTTGCATATAAGCGGTGGTCCCTCAAGGTCTGTAATACCTCTTGCAAGTGTGACTCATGCTCCTCTGTGCTCCTAGAGTATACCAGTATGTCGTCAATGAAGACGATCACAAAATGATCTAGGAATGGTCTAAACACACGATTCATCAGATCTATAAAAGTGGCTGGAGCATTGGTCAAACCAAATTGACATCACCAAAAATTCGTAATGGCCATATCGTGTCCTGAACGCGGTCTTCGGGATATCCTCAAGTCTGATTCTCAGCTGGTGATACTCGGATTGCAAATCAATTTTCGAAAAACACACTGTCCTATGCAACTGATCAAACAAATCGTCTATCCGGGGCAATGGGCACCTATTACATATTGTCACCTTGTTGAGTTGCCGATAATCAATACACAGTCGCATACTGTCATCCTTCTTTTTTATGAACAAAACTGGAGCACCCCAAGGAGACATGCTCGGACAAATAAAACCCTTACTCAGAAGGTCTTGCAATTGTACTTTTAATTCTTTCAACTTTACTGGTGCCATGTGATACGGAGTTATGGAGATCGGTTGTGTGTCTGAAACTAGGTCGATACAAAACTCAATTTCCCTCTCATAAGGGATACCAGGTAAATCCTCAGGAAATACATTGGCAAACTCTTTCATGATGGGAACCTACTTTATGCTGGCTCTGCCACCCGGATGTCCTTGATTAGGGCCAAAATTCTTGACACCCTTTAGATAAAAGGCGATTCGCCCTCATATAAGATATAACCCGAACTGGGGCTAGACTATAATTGCCATGAAATACCAATGGAGGCTCATTAGGTATCTCAAACCTCACTGTCTTAATATGTCAATCCAATGTAGCGTAACAAGAAGCCAATCAGTCCATGCCCAAGATTATATCAAAATCAGAAATATCCAGAACGATCAGGTCCGCCATGAACTCCCTATCCTTCACCTGGACTGAACAAGACTTATACATCTGCAGAACTAAAACAGGCTCTCTCCCAAAGAAAGTAGGTGGTTTAAACCTAAGAAAATCCATGACCTGAGTATCCAGCCCGGTCTCATGCTAATGACACTCTGCGGCTGCCTATGCCATAATAGTGTCGGGATGGACCTCCTGCCTCCTACCCAATTCCTAAGGGGATCTCTTGAGTTCTCTGAACTAAACTCGGCTAGCCAACTGCACCAACCTCTAACACTCCTAGATTCTGCATTTATTGGGTCTCAGTCCTTCCCTGGTCCAGCATCCTCGCCATTATAGAAATCGTAGTCTGTTGTGTTCCCTAAATGCTAAGTGAGGTCTCAGCTAATCTGTTCGAAGTATCGGTGGGTCGAGTAGTCTCCTCGACCTCTATTTGTCTACCTTGGCTAGCATTCCTGCCACGACCTTTCCCTCTACCCCTATTTCCACCTCGTCCTCTACCTCATACAGGTACAGATGGCTGTCTGTCTAATCATATCTCGGGGAGGGTGGCTTATCTCGTGGCGCCTCGAGAGCAACTGAATTCTCGATATCGAGTTCCTAATCGCGGTTTTCGTACGAAGGGTCCATCTATCACGAGATTTCAAACAACATATAATGAAAGTACGAATGAAAGAAAGATCGGAACAACAATCGAATTTAGAGAACAAAAACTCCTAATTGCCCTTCCATAACGTCTCGACTATGAAAATGGCCGGCTCACCACCATAATCGAAACTCCACAAATGAATGATTTGCTCCACCGATCACAAGAAACCTAGAGCTCTGATACCAACTTTGTCATGACCCAAAATCGGATACGTGACCGGCATAAGAGTCAGAATAAATTCCAACCCTACAAGTCTGACAGAAATACTAAATTTAACTAAAAACAAAAAGTCTAATATAATTCAAATAAAATCCAAACCACACTAACTGAAATGTCAAACACAAAACAGAATCCTGTCTATAGTCAAATGGAGCACACTAAAACACCAGGAATACAAAGTCTGATAAAACTGAATAACTGACTCTAAACAGAAAAATCTAAACAGAACAGTTGATGACACGGACTCCCCTCAGCAAGCAGGATCCACCAGATCAGCGTACTCAGAATCTGAAAAAAATAAGGGTGAGTCTATCGACCCAGTGAATAATAATCTGCATTTTCGAGATCAAAGGACATGCATAAAGCTATAACAGGTAATTTACTGAAACATATTTATTTTTCAAACATTTTTTGTAATTTAGGGAGTTCGTAATCTTGAGTATAACATATATCGGGAAATAGAACGGTGACACACAGTCAGCTAATAACTAAGGCAATGACACAAAATCAGTCGGTAATCAAGGCGGCGACACATAGTCAGCCGGTAACCTGAATGGTAACATATGTCTGGATAACAGAATGGCAACATATGCCCAATAACAAAATGGCAACATATGCCCGGATAACAAAATGGCAACATATCAGTATGCCCGGATAATCACAATGGCAGCATATCAGCCATGTCGGATAACAGAACGGCAACATATCAGTATGCCCGGTAATCACAACGGCAGCATATCAACTAGCTGGTAACAGAACGGCAGCATATTAGCCATGCTGACAAACAGAAATCTGAAATGTCTAACACCATCACCCTTGCTAGATGGAGACCCATACAGGGTGCAAATCAGTCAAAACTGATAAACTGAAATCTGAAATGTCTAGCACCATCACCCTTGCTAGATAGGGAACATACAGGGTGCAAATCAGTCTAACGCGTATTGTCGTTAGCTACAATGCTCAAAATCCAAAATTCCTTCAAAAATATTATTTTCCAGGATTAACAGAACAGTTTAACTAAATATTTTCATTTACTGATATAAAATTGAATCAAATATAAATAACAGACAAGTTTCCAAAACAAATTCATAAATTACATACATGTCCCTTGTCATATAATTTAACAAAATTTAATCAGATTTTCTAGAAAACATGTATATAATAAAAACATATTTATTTCAGATATGGAAAGCAGAAAGGCTCATAAATACACATTATTACTCACCGAACGACGAAACCGAAAAAATCCAACACTGGACGACACAACTCAATCAAAATCGTACAAGCAATCTAGAATCAGGAAATAATATATTTCAATTCATGTAAGATAAATTTCCAGATCACAATACTAAGTAAAATCCTAAGTTTACATGCCCGAACCCCTACTATGGTCATTTTAGCCCCGAACTGGTCAAATATCTCACGAACCAAGTACCGACGTTATAAACCGTTTGCTTAAAACCTCACAACCAGTATATTTAAACCTTAAAAAATCAGTTAATGAGGTGAACCGATAATGAACCAGCTATGAACCTGCCATTCAGAGGCTAAATCGGCCATAAACCGAACCTTAAACTACTAAACCAATCATATTTTAATTTTCAAAGCATTAAATTTACTTGGAACTGGTTTAAAAAACGAATGAACCGGACTGATTTTTGTTGAATCAGCCGGTTTTCCATGTAATTTACCTTAAAATGCCTTGAACTGGGGCTAAAACAGTAATTTCCTCATTGAACCAGAACTTCTCTAACTAGATAAATTAATTAACTAATTTTTTGTCCCTTGAATCAGTGGAAAACCGATTAATAACAAGGTGAACCGGTCGGTTTTTCCTTTCCTCTCTTTATTATTATTATTATTATTTATTATTTATTAATATCCAGATCTGGGTTCCCAAGTTTTTGGGTTTTTCATTCCCGATCGAGTTTCATCCCTGAACCCGTAAGTCCCGAACCAAAAGGATTGAAAACTAACCTGAAATCCTGAAGAATTTTGGAAATCTCCTTCTGTGACGGCGATCGAAATGGACAGGCAACGATCATCCAATGAATTGATTTTTCAATCAATAGCCACACAATTGATTTTCTAGTTTTTTTTTCCCTCCAACAACTATGCCGGACTATAACTCGTACAGAGGACAAATTGGAAGAAATTAATTTCAACTTTCTGCTCTTCGAGGGTCGTCTGTCTTTCATATATAGTTAATTGAAAATTATTTCATCAATCTATCACAGATTGATTTGATTGAAGTAAAGATCCGGAAAAAAAGAGATTTGGAAAAAAAATCTGGATCCAAATCTGAAGTAATTTCTATTAGGTCCTGGAGATTCTAATTTCTTTTTGATTTACATCCCGATGTTCTGATTTGACTCGATTTGGTCCCTGCTGTTTCAGATTTGATTAGATTTAGTCCCTAATTATTTTGATTTGTTCAATTTAGTCTTTAGTTTATTAATTTTCATAAATACCCCTAAGTTAGGGGTATTACAATAATACATTGAAATTACTTTAAAAAAATAAAACAGATAAAAAGACATCTGCATTTGAGAGAATATTTCTTTATGCATTAATTCAGAATTTCTTAATTTAAAATTTTCATGTGTTGTCTTAGACAATATTAAGAGTCATTACAGTTACACGGTAGCTAAAAATCATATGCTGCAGCATACATATCAGAAATTAGCAGTGCTAAATTCCCCACGTCTATATAGTATACATTTAAAGCTTCCAGAACATAGATATTACACCTCTACAAATTCCAAACACAGAGAAATATGAAGAGGTTTTTTGGCCAATTAAACAATAAGAGTCAACACTTATTTTTCAAGTTTTTACTTAGTAAAAATAGAATTTATATTTCCAACACAGCACTATCTAAACCTGATTAGTATTTATTTGTTTATTGTGAATTGTTTATTTATTTCTCTAACAGGCCCGAAGCATTTGTGTGCTTCACCTTCTGAGCCACAAGATGGTCAAGTCCTTTCGGATCGTAAGGGAAGAAGAAACAGCTCTCCTGGTGGAGAAGATTCGGAGCGCATCAGTGGTGAATCTTTCGGACATGCTTCTTTCTCTCACCAATAATGTATTGTGTAGGGTGGCCATGGGCAGGAAGTATTGGGAAGGGGACGCCAGTAATGAGGAGGGTGTGTACGTAAATGAAGAAAGTGAAAAAATCAAACAGTTTTCATCTTCAGATTTTGAGCTGAAGTCTAAGCAAACTACATCAAGCATATCCGTAAAAGGAGGGAGGAAGCTCAAGGAAATGATGGGAGATTACGGAATTGTTGGGCGTGTTTGATATAGGGGCTTATATCCCATGGCTTTCTTGGTTGAATCGTATCAATGGTTTGGATTGTAGGTTGGAGAAAGTTGCTAGGGAGTTTGATGAATTCATAGAGGCTGTGGTTGCAGAGCATATTGATAGAAAGAGAAGGGAGTGCAATAACGGTCGTGGCTCTGGTGAAAAAGAAGTAAATGACTTCTTGGATGTTTTGCTTGAACTTCAAAGTGATGATAGGGCTGGATTTCCTATTCACAGAGATACCATCAAAGCTCTGACCTTGGTCATGAGATCTTTTTCCTAATTTTCTTGTTAAATTGATGTTAATTTTTCCTTTTGAGATCTACAAGTAATTTTGTTCCACTTGACCCACTTCCTTAATTAGATCTCCTTTCTACACTCTGTTCTCTAGTTTTATTTTCTGGATTTTCAGAAAAAACACGAAAATCATGAGATCTATAGTTTTTATATAATTTTCATTTTTGAATAAAAATTCTTTTTTTCCAAAAAAACTCCATTTTCTTTTTCTCCTCTTCTTTTTTTATTTAGAAAATTTTCTATGCACAATTTTTCAAAACCAATCTGCCAAAAAAAATTTTGGAAAGCAACTCTAAACATCTTAGAACTCATGAGCCTTACGGTGAAGAAGCAAGAATGCAAATAAATTCACAGAAATATCTGTGTTACGTCATTGCTCCTTACAGTTTTGAGGTTGAGCATGACAATTTGGTCATTTGGTTCTTTTTTGCAGGACATGTTCGCTGCTGGGACTGATACAATATTCACAGTTCTAGAATGGACAATGGCTGAGCTATTAAAACACACAGAATTCATGAAGAAGTTACAAAAGGAGGTAAGGGACGTTGGTAGAGGCAAACGTTACATAGCCGAGGATGATCTGGAGAAAATGCACTACTTGAAAGCTGTGATCAAAGAGTCTCCGAGGCTTCATACCCCTGTCCCATTATTAGTTCCTAGAGAATCACTCATAGATGTAAACGTGATGGGCTATGACGTTGCTGCTGGCACACAAGTGCTTGTCAATGTTTAGGCAATCGCAAGAGATCCATCATCTTGGGAAGATCCTGAGGAGTTTCGGCCCGAAAGGTTCCTTAATAGCTCCATAGATTTCAAGGGCAAAGGTTTTGAGTTCATCCCTTTTGGTGCTGGCCGGAGGGGTTGCCCTGGCATAGTATTCGCCGTGAATGTGATTGAACTTGCATTAGCAAATATTGTGTACAGGTTTGACTTTTGTTTGCCTGATGGAGCAAGGTTGGAGGATTTAGACACGATGAGTGAAAGGACTGGGACTACCATCCATAAAAAGAATCCTCTAATTGTTTTAGCAGCTGAACACCTCTAGTGTCGTCCTTTGGCGCACATTTCTAAGTTAGCAGGTTACCTATGTATAAGAAAGAATAATAACTTTCTAATTTTGATCGGAGGTTTTCCAAGTTTAGAGAAGCGTGTGATGTAATAAAATAATTTTTAGTTGAATAAGAATGTAAATGAGAATTGGAATTGAAGTAGAATAAAGAAAAATTCTTATAAGTTGGTTTAGTACATATATATCACATAAATATTCATATTTTATTATTATTTTTAGTATACTGAAACAAAATTAGAAAATGAAACAAAAATGGTTCAAAGACAAAATACTTTATATAAAAAGATTTAAAAATTAAATAAAATTTTTAATATATATAAACATATTAAAAAGTTTAAAAAATTAAAAAAATTATATTCTAACCTAAAATTATTAAACTATACTTTACATGTGTATGCGCCTGTGTGTGTCTATAATATAATATAATATTATCTTTACACAATACACATATTATTCATGTAAGAAGAAAAGAATTCAAAGTCTCCAAACGAACCGTGGCTTTTGATATCTGTAGCATAATTTTGTTATTTATATATATATATATATATATATATATAAAGATGATTGTCCGGTAATTAAATAATAAAGTGAAAGAATGGAATTAGAATTCCTCCGTCCTATTTATGAATTTAGATTACTATATTTGTATAAATCCTGATTATATAGAGAATAAAATTTCTATTGAAAAATGGTTACCAAACACATAAAGCATTCTTATTCCTATTGCGGCCATCAATGAAATTTTATCATATTATATACCTCCTAAGTTCAAATACAGTAGAGATGAAATATGTAAGATAAAATCGTTCTATTTTCAACCACGTAAAACCAAGTCTAATTCAATTAGATAAGATAAAGATGAAATATGTAAGATAAACTCGTTCTATTCTCAATCACATAAAACTAAGTTTAATTCAATTACATCATGTATGGAAATAACATCGATGCCATGATACCATGAGTGTTTTGTGGTGAGTGGTGATTTTTATGAAATGATATAGTATTTGGCATTTTGTTGGAGATCAACTCGTTTACTCTATTAAGACAACTATTAAAGGTTAATTTTTATGATAAACAATACTTACCTTCCTCTTTGTATACTGAATAATACTCAACTCTGTTTTTACTCTAAAATAACACTCTTCCCCTTTAAAATCAGTCTAAACAAAGTCCGACACACTGAACTGGTCCAAATATATTGAACCAACTTGCATTCATCTACAGGTCACGTGCTTAGATATTATGCCTCGACAAGCTTTGCCATTTGCACCTCTGTATTGCATCCAGGCGCATTGCAACAGTGGGTGCAACACATGCCTAGTGTGCAATGGCATGCCTTAGCCAAGCAACACTCAAGGATTTCAAAAATGAAAGGAGAAGAATAGTGAGAAAGAACCTCTGTTGATCGCAGTCGTTGACTATCAACGAAGAAGAACAAATGAAGAAGAACGTCAAGTAGGAAAAGAGTCAACAAATTATGGTAGAGAGCCCGCAGAAAGTAACCGATAGTAGTTGTTTACCAACTGAGAACTGTTCTCTAGTTTTTTCTAGGGACCAGTGGTAACTAATTGTTGGTGCAGAGGACAATATAGACCAGTCCCAACATATTTAGACCGATACAATGTGTCCGACCCGATTGAAACCGATTCAAAGGAAAAAGGTATATTTTAGTGAAATGGGCTTGATACACTTTGGACATACTTGGAGGAAACTAATTGTTGTTTACCCTAAATTTTAATTTCCATTCATCCACTTCATTATATAGCATTTTGTACTAATTGGAAAACATAGAAGTTAAGCAGCGAAAGAACTGTCTACGGCTTGTTGGCAATGAATTTTCAAGAGAATACAAATCTTAAGCACTAGAAAAATAAAAATTTTAGAATATTTTGCTAGTGAGAAACAAGTGGCTAAAGCACGATGGGTAATTGATGATAGTCTAATCTCTCCTTCATTATTGTTAAGAAGAGAATATAAATTCACATTTTACTCTCATTTTCTATGTAACTTGCGAAAATGAGAATATAAGTAGAGTATAGACAAAAATCATAATACTAAGTGCTGATCACCAATGTAAAAATCAACTTTTGTCTTTTAAATAAAGAAATAGATCATCTGTGTTCTTATGAATATTTTTAGATCTTTTTAATAAATTAAAATTTAAACTCGTGTTTGGTCTCACTTTCATTTTGTAACTATCATTTTAAATGTTGTGGTCTTACTTGGGATAAGTTCGGGTAATAAACCCAACGTTTTATTAATTAAAAAAAATTAATTTTAAAAGTATTAGAAATATTATAAAAAAATTAAAAGATAAATTAGATTATTTTTTATAAATTATTTTCACATTTTACAAAATCAAATAATAAGATCTCTTTTTTAAAAAATTAATCTATTTTTCACAAAATTAATTTTTCCTAAATTTATTTTTAACAGACAAAACTTTAATTTTCATTTCAGAAATTTCAAAAAAAAAAAAAAACACTTCTTGAAAAATCATACAAAAAAGTTTCTCTGTCATTGAATCATGAAATGGCTCTTGTTTGTCCACTCATTTCAACAATACAATGAAATTGTTTTAAAAAATCGTAAAGCAGCTATAAAAATATCTCCCTGATATTGCCTTTCTCTACACTCACCAATTCAGAATTTCTTTCTTTCATTAAACGATGAAAATTAAAAATTTTCACTTACTGTTTTGGACAATGAATAAGAATCTTTACAGTTACACCAGCTGAAAATCGTATGCTTGAGAATACACATCAGGAAGCGAAGACAATTCTTCAAGTTCATAAATAAAGAACACCCTAATCGTCTCTTTCAGCTTGCGGAGATCGCTAAAAGCAATGTTTTCATTACTCTTCTCTCTCCTTCCCCTCTCTTTCCTCACCCTCTTCCTGGTCAAGGGGTGGCTCGCTAACTCTCCATCGCACAAAACTCTACCACCTTCTCCACCAAAGCTTCCGATTATAGGAAACCTGCACCAACTTGGCCCTCACCCTCACCTCTCTCTCTCCTCACTAGCCCAAACGTATGGCCCCCTCATGCTGCTCCGCCTCGGCCGTGTCCCAGTCCTTGTCGTGTCCTCCGCTGCTGCGGCCCGTGAGATCTTGAAAACCCACGATCAAAACTTCTGCAGCCGGCCCAAGTCGAGGATCGCTGACAAACTACTTTATGGCTCCAGGGACGTAGCCTTCTCGCCTTACGGCGAGTACTGGAGGCAGGTCGTGTTAGAAATTAATGCTAATTATTCGCTTTTTTTTTTTTTCAAGTATATATTTCTTTTTTTTTTTTTTTGAGATTTTCTTTGTAAATGACGATGTTCAGCATTACCTAAACCTGATTAGTGTTTATTTGTTTACTGTTAATTGTTACGTGCTTTTAGGTTTGCGAGATAGTTTAACTTTGCTTCATGAATTTATCTAACAGGTCCGAAGCGTTTGTGTGCTTCACCTTCTGAGCCACAAGATGGTCCAGTCCTTTCGGATTGTGAGGGAAGAAGAAACAACTCTCATGGTGGAGAAGATTCGGGGCTCATCCGTGGTGAATCTGTCAGACATGCTTGTTTCCCTCACCAATAGTGTAATAAGTAGGGTGACCTTGGGCAGGAACTATTGGGAAGGGGAAGCAAGTAATGAGATTATGTACGTAAATCAAGAAAATGAAAAAGCCAACGAATTTTCATCTTCTGATTTTGAGCAAAAGTCAAAAAAAACTAAATCAAGCGTATCCCTAAAAGGAGGGTGGAAGCTCAAGGAAATGATTGGAAGGTTAGCGGAATTGTTGGGCGTGGTTGATATTGGGGTTTACATCCCCTGGCTTTCTTGGTTGAATCGTATCAATGGTCTGGATGGTAAAGCGGAGAAACTTGCTAGGGAGTTTGATGAATTCATAGAGGCTGTGGTTGCAGAGCATGTTCATGGGAGGAGAAGGGAGTGCAATAAAGGTCGGGGCTCCGGTGAAAGAGAAGTGAAAGACTTTGTGGATGTTTTTGCTTGAACTTCAAAGTGATGATAAGCCCGGATTTCCTATTCACGGAGATACCATCAAAGCTCTGATACTGGTAATGGGCTCTATTAAGAAATTTCTGGTTATTGATGTTAAATTGTTCTTTTGAGATCTATAAGTAATTTTGCTCCATTTGACCAGTGTAAACTGGGCAGCTTCTTTAGATCTGCTTTATATGCTCCGTTCTCAATTTTTGTTTTCTATATTTTCAGAAAAAACCAAAAATGACGAAAACCCTGTAGTTCTTATTTTTGAGCGAAAATCGTTTTTGAAAAACAACTCTATGTTGTTTTTCTCTTTTTCTCTCCTTTTATTTTGAAAATTCATCTGTGAATAATTTTTCAAAACCAACCTGTCAAACAAATTTTTTGTTGTCAAACATAGATAATAATTTTTGGAAAACAAATCTAGACAGGTATGAACTTATGAGCCTTAAAGAAAGAAGTAAGAATGCAAATCAATTCACAGCTATCCGTGCTATGTCGTTGCTCCTTGTAAGTTAGGAACTTATGGGCCTTAAAAAAAGAAGTAAGAATGCAAATCAATTCATAGAAAGATCTGTGGTACGTCGTTGCTCCTTATAGCTTTGAGGTTTAATATGACAATTTGGTCACTTGGCTCCTTTTTGCAGGACATGTTTGGTGCTGGGACTGATACAACATTCACTCTTCTAGAATGGACAGTGGCCGAGCTCTTAAAACACCAGGAAACCATGAAGAAGTTACAAAAGGAAGTGAAAGAAATAGGCAGAGGCAAACGTTACATAGCCGAGGATGATCTGGAGAAAATGCACTACTTGAAAGCTGTGATCAAAGAGTGCCTAAGGCTTCATACCCCTCTCCCAATATTACTTCCTAGAGAATCACTCAAAGATGTTAGAGTAATGGGCTATGACATTGATGCTGGCACCCAAGTGCTCGTGAATGTTCGGGCAATCGCAAGAGATCCATCATCTTGGGAACATCCTGAGGAGTTTCGGCCCGAAAGGTTCCTTAATAGCTCCATAGATTTCAAGGGCAAAGATTTCGAGTTCATCCCTTTCGGTGCTGGGCGGAGGGGTTGCCCCGGCACACTATTCGCCATCAATGTGACTGAGCTTGCATTAGCAAATATTGTGTATAAGTTTGATTTATCTTTGCCTGATGGGGCAAGCTCGGAGGATTTGGACATGAGTGAAGGAACCGGGATCACCATCCATAGAAAGAATCCTCTAATTGTTTTAGCAGCTGAACGTCTCTAATGTCATACTTTTGTGCACATGTCCAAATTAGTGAAGTTCTCTATGTATAAAAAAGAATAAGACTTTTTTGGTTCTGATGGAAATAAAATATAAATTAATAAATAAAAATATTTATAAATATATAAAACCACTCAATATCCTAATTAAAGTTTTTCAACCTTAAATTAAAAAAGCATGGAGACAAAAAATACAAGATAATATAGTCCCGTTATTAACTACACAAAATTGGAGTCTGATTCTACCACATCATGCATGGAAATACTATCTTATCATGATATGATAAGTAATATAGTGGTGAGTGGTCATAATTACCAAGGCAATATTGTATCTGGCCTTGTGTATAAGACCTATCAATTATTTTCTAAAACTGACTCATTTGTTCTCTTGAGACAACTATTAAACCAAATAAAAAGGAATGGCTGGTAAATTTTTAATTTTCATGTAGTGGGTTAGCAACAACTTCAATCTCTTATGTGCGTAATCACTAGTGGAAAAGTGTAACCACAGATTGGGAGGTTGAATAAAATTTGAAATTGTTCAAATTATCGATTTGATGTGTTGATTCTTTGTTGAGAGTAAATCCGTGGATAATACATGTGTGTGAAAAGAAAATCAAAATAAAGTAAAAAAAAAAGAACTATAAATCCCAATATATATATATATACATACATATATATATATGACATTGTCCTCCATTGCTTTGTTATTTATTTTATATTTTTTAGTTTAATAAAAAAATGCTAATGAGAGGGACTAAGTTTAAAAATTAATTTAAAATTTTAAAATAATTTTTTAAAATCCAAATTCCACAAAATCCCATGAAATGCTATCAAATTTGACAAGATTTGGTGGGATTTCAATAAGTTAAATGAAATTACATCAAATCCCATAAAATCCAAATCCCATTTTTCAATTTTTTTATCCAAATGTTAAAAGTGTACTTTTGAAACCCAATACCAACCAAATCTTATCAAATCTTAAGTTGCCAAACAAAGGGTATGTATTGATCACTAACTTAAAAATTATTAATTTTAGTCTTTTAAATAAAAGTAATTTGCATAATCTGTGTTATTATGAATGTTTTAGATCTATTTAATAAATTCAAAATTTTAATTTGATAGTTAAAACATTTGAGCTGCTAACGACAAAATAAAAGTACACTTATTTGAGATTCTTTGAAAATAGAGACCCGCTTATCCCTGGGTCAACTCTGCTACTCGAGACTAGAAATTGAGGATCAATGCCATTTACTACACTCCAAGAGTAGTGAATCCTTGACAGACAAGCTGTTAGTCCCTTTGGAGGACTGAACCGGCCCAATTCAAGAAGGTCACAGACTGAGC